AAACTCACTCTGCATAAGCTTAGGAAACTCTTTGACTAGTTGCATGTTAGTAGAACCAAATATTATATAGTTAACATAAATTTGAGCTAGAAGAAGATGTTTTCCTTGATGTTTAATGAAACGTGTAGTATCTACCTGTTAGGGAAAAACAAAGCAATAAAGCGTAGAGAAAAAAGAGGAACACAATCACAACACAAGAGATTAACGTGGAAACTCTAAAACCGGAGAAAAAGCCACGACCGTTGTCAAATGACAACCAGAGAATAACACTATGTGAAAATTATTACAACACATAATATACCCTCACAAACCCAGACCCCCAGTACACTCACACCCTCCAAAAAAATATTTAACTACATCTCGCAACACTCTAAAACAAGAGTATAAGAGAACAAAGAAAGTCAAATACAAGCTTAAAATGCTTTTGACTGGTGCATCTTGGAATGAAGAACTTAAATCCTATATATAATATTGGACTCCCACTTCCTTCACAAAACTAAGCAATGTGAGACTTCAAAAAACTTGTATCTACATATAGCCTTGACTCCCTCTTCATTCACAAAACTAAGAGATATGGAACTTTAAAAAACTTGTATCATATATATAGCCTTGACTCCCTCTTCACTCACAAAACTAAGCGATGTGGGACTTCTTCAACATGTATATTTTCAACCAACCCCAAAAATATCCACCTTGATTGAAAATAATACATAAGCTTTCATTGTCTTCACCAACAATCACACTCCACCATAAAGAGTATACTCACTTGAAGTTACACCACTCCAAGATTCGACTGAGTATGAAAAAATAATTAAAGCTCAGTGTTATATTATGATACTATTTGGTGATATTTTATTTCCTGAAACTACTGGTAATATGGTAAATATCATGTAAATGCCAATGTTAAGAAACATAAATAAAATATGAACACATAGTCGAGGTTCACTTGTTTTGTTCCATCTATATAGTTCTTTGTGTAAAAACGCACAAAAGGATACTTATTCATTTTATTCTTGTGCCTTTTTGCTCCAAACACGAGGTTGGTCGAGAATGTCGTCACTCGCCCCCATCAACGAGAAGTCTTTTACATTCCCCTCACAACAAAGTAAGTTTATCTTATTTTTTCCACTTGCTTACTTTATACTACAACTAACTGTAAATAATTTATTTTCACTCTTTTCTGTTTAGATGGTATGTTCTGGGGGATGAACTACGACAAATGTCCCAAATATGATATAGTACTTTATCACAATCTTATATAACACCTTGGACCAGACGATGTATTACAACTAAATAACTCATTAGAAACTAAATTAGATTTTAATATTACCAAATTATAAATCTTATAATCATGTATTTTTCCTATACAGTTTATCCAGAAGGTCGTATCTGGGTCTTGACCATGAGGTTAACCCCGAGGGTGCTGCAATTTGGACAACAAAAACACCAATCATCAGGTTCACTAATATGGGGATGCATATGAGTGATCAACTGCAGTTCGACATGCAACAACAGATCCTAGATCCACCAACGTGTTTGGGAGACTGGCATTAACTAAAAGTCGATGTCCAATGGAGTTATTCCGATTGGAGAGAGTTCGCTAAGGAGATGTGTCGTTAATGGAAGAATCGACATCGACACATATCAAATGAACTTATCATATAGGGTGCTAGACCAACTCAAAATTATTTGAATTGGTATATGTCGGTTACAACGACACAGTTTGTGTCTGACTCGAGGTATTTGATCGATTCACGTCTACGAGCTTCGTCATTATACGCACAACAACAAACCCCACAACATTACCAAACCCAAATGTCAATCCACCCAAACCCAACAACCAACTTCATAAAATTACCATACTAGATACACCCAACCACCAAACACCGAACCCCGCAACCAATTCTTGCCACTCACCCAAACACAAAACCAAGAGCATATGACCCATACCACCAACAACCATATAGCGCCACCACATCTTACTATAGCCCTGATGATGCATATGATTCCACCCCATCCCACCATAGCCCCCTACCAATGTACATCCAAACATCATACCACCAAAGCACTAAAACATCACATCGTCAAAGCATCCAACCACCACATGACTTTCAAACACCACAAGAATTTCTAAAATGATTCAATCTCCCAATTCAACCAACCAGTCCGTCCACACGTAACCCAACTACCATGACCCAACTACGAGAACCTGGGAACCAAACTCGATTAGGGTAGCACCGACTCCGGCACCCCATGCTTATGGGGAGAAATGATTGAAAATTTGTTAGATATGCCAGGACCCTCGCATCAACCACTTCTATCTCAAGCGAATACTATGAAACCCCAAACACCTCAGGGAAATTGCGGGAGACCTCGAAGGCAAGCGAATGTGCCAACATGTGAAACCGGGAAACGTTATGATCGAGCTAGTCATTGATTTTCTATTCAATCGTTGTGTAATTCAATTTTATGAAATAATATTATAAGTTATTTTTAATTTTTAATTTTATTTCAAAAACATTTATTGTTAAAATAATTAAAAATTAAAAAAAAACTAAACAAAATTGTAGCCACTACCTGTGGTGCATGCTCCTAAAGGATGAATGCACGTGTCGCATGCAGTGACATGTTGTCTAAGCATGTGCCAGGTTGATGGTGCCTATATACAATATTTGAATGCATGTGTCATCATGTATGACTGCTTCTCTTGCCACATAATTCTTTTGTTTGAAAGTTGATTACTTTAATATTTCATTTGAAATATTAGTTATTTAGAAAAATTAATTGAAAATATTGTTATTTAAAAATAAAAAATCCCCGTTATGAATAGAAAAATTGCATATAAAGTTATGATAATTTTTAAATTCACTTTTGATATATATATATATATATATATATATATATATATATATATATATATATATATATATATATATATATATATATATATATATATATATATATATATATATATATATATATATATATATATATATATATATATATATATATATATATATATATATATATATATATATATATATATATATTATAGTTTGATTATAATTTCTTATTTATATATATTATTTATTATTTATTTATTTCTTCTGAGTGGGATGAAACCGATTTCTAGAGTTTCTTAATTTCAGGAAATTGGTATTCGATAGTTGATTATAATGTTATTAATATTTAATTTATATTATCTAATTAATTTTGTGTGTGTGTTATAATCCCTATTAATACTTTATATCAATGGCTTATTCATAAAACTCCATTTCATTATTATAACTTATTATTATTGATTTAACCTCCACCAAAAAAATTAATAGTTTCTTTATACTATGCTACAAGTATTAATGAGTTTTTTTGTATTATACTATAAAATTTAATTGTTTCAATTTTAAATTATTTGGTTATACTACAATAATTATTAATAATAAATTAATAAGAATATGACATATCAGTGCATCACATTTAGCTGAATACTACTATTAATACATTCGATTTATAACTTTTTAATATTAATTATATTATATACTCTAATAAATATAAGAGTTTAATACAAGACTACTACCCTATGTTGATAGATTTCAACTAGTTAAAAGTGTTTTGTTCTCGATTTTTAATAATTGGATGTGGATTTTTCCTCTACTTAAGAAGGTTATAGTTCATGTGGAGAGATTTTGTAAATGTTTTTTGTGGACTGGAAAAGATGATATCAGTAGAAAAACTCCAATATCTTAAAAAATCATATTTGTGATTCTATATCTGTGGGAGGAAAAAAATATGATTTCGCTTGTAGAGTAGAACAAAACAATTCTTGGTAAGTTGCTACGGAACATTTTGAACAAAAAAGATATCTTGGGGATTAGATGACTGCAAGCTTATTACTTGAAAAATGTAGATGTGCAGGATTTCAACCTTGTCCAAACCTGTTTGTGGGTGGTGAAAGTCATTTTCAAGAATAAGGATATGCTGATAAACTCTGAACCATGGCAGAATTTTCAGATGGATGGTAAATATACTACTAGCATCATGTATAGAGCCTTAAGAGGAATTAAACCTAAAGTTGATTGAAGAGTTCCGTTTTATGGAAATCTTGCAAGACTTAGAGCTACATTCATTCTTTGGATGGTATGCCAAAACCGTCTTATGACTAAGGACATGACGGCAAAGCATGGAATGGAGACTAATGGACTTTGTGTGTTTTGTCGTATGCAAGAAAGTTGTCATCACATTTTCTTTGGTTGTTCCTACGCTAAACAGGTTTGGAAGCAGGTTCTAAATGACTTTGGCATTGGTCATGAATCGGGGGCTTGGAGTAACGACCTACAGTGGCTCTTACATACAACTCGTGGTAAAGGTAATAAAGCAAAACTCATCAAAAGTGCAGTTGCAGAGACGATATATCATGTGTGGAGTATCAGAAATCAAATTATTTTTCAAGGTTGTAATGAAGAGACTTTAGATAGTAGAAAAATCAGGGAAGTAATTCTCCTTAGAATTGAAAAGAATAAAAAACTTATAGAGTATTGTAATAGGGTTTAATGGAATGAGCGATGTTGTCTTTGTGGTTTGCTTAGTCTTCTTGTGTCTGGATCGCGTTGAATCGGCGTATATTGTATTGGTTTTTGTTAATAATATATCTCCTTTTATATATATATATATATATATATATATATATATATATATATATATATATATATATATATATATATATATATATATATGTTTTCCCAAAGATGTTAATACTAATATAATAATATTTAAGCTTAATCATTCATTTTTTCATGAGAAGGGAGTTGATATTTAAGACAATACAGTATCTTCTAAGAACTTGACCAAAACAGACTCTCACAACCTTCGACGCCGTCGTCCAGTTTCGCCGGCCACCGCAACCTGGACGTGATCTACATTTCGGCGAAACAACGAAACGATCAAGTAACACAGTCGCCAGGTTTTGTTCCACCACTCTCTTACTCTGTACAACAAAACAAAAGATGCAGGATCCTCCCAATTCAACATCCGAATTCCGATTAGGGCAACGAGTTCACACATCTGGTAATTCAACTCGAATCGGTACAGTGAAGTATGTAGGAACTGTAGAAGGCTACCCAGACACATGGATTGGAATCGATTGGGACAATGCAGAAGGAAAACACGACGGATCCCTTAACGGAATTCGCTACTTTCATGCTAAATCTGAAACTTCAGGTTCTTTTGTTCGTCCTAAGAATCTGTGTAAAGGGATTTCGTTTCTTGAAGCTATTGAAAAAAGGTATCGAAGTAACTCTACTAAAGATGAAGAGGGTGAGTAACTAAACTCTGTATATCAAACTAGTGGTTATTTATTTATGCATATTTAGGGTTTATGGATGTAATGTATGGTTTTGTTTATTTTTGCAGATGAAATGTATGTGTTTTCATCTAGCAATAAGCGAGTTTCTATTCAATTGTTGGGTGAAAGTGAACTTAATGATAAGCTAAGTCGACTTGAGGAGTTATCAAGCGTCTCGCTGTCGTTTATGGGTGTTGGTTTCCCTGGGATTCCAGGTCAAATTAGTACTACGGTGCCGAGTAAGCTAAACTCTATAGCACGCTTGTTTCTTTGCTTATATAAAGAGAAATGAAACGTTGAACTAGTGGAATCTGTTTCCTTTTTTGTGGTGAGGGTTGATAGAATTGTGGTGTTATTGAATTGGTTGCTTTTTTTACCTTGGTTAAGATAAGGGTTTTAAAAAGCATTCACGGTAATGGTTGTAGGCGCATTGCAATCCTTGATATTGCTGAGAATTGGAATCAAATGTGGCCTCAATTCTGGCTGTGTTGCAATTTCGGCAACGTAAAAAATTGTTGTGTCACGGCCCGGATTGTGGTTGTTGACCTTTATTTAAAACCCTGGTTTAGATTCCATTACTTCAGGTTACAATTGGAATTTATAAATTTTGATACCTGTTTCTATCCTCTAAGGCAATTTGAATATAGGTAAATAGTTCACTTGGAATTTTCTATTTTCCGGCAAAATCTATGTTTTGAAACTGTACTTTTCTGTTCATAGATATAAAAGAACTTGATCTGTCCGGGAACCTTCTTTCAGAATGGAAGGTATGTTCCACAACCCTGTTTTGTCAACTATTCTCTCCTGGCTACTGCTGCAGCTTTGAATTTTCTTATTTTCTTCACGCCGATGCCAAAAATAGTACTCTGATGTAGGATCACAGATTTTGGAGGATTCTCATTGTCTTCATAGTTGGCACTGTTGTTTTTTTTCTTGTAAAATTTCTTTTTCAATTCCAAAGATAGCACTAGGATCGCTTGCAAAACTCCCTTTTATTTTGCATGCCCCACTATCTTGTTATCAATGGCCGTTTAATCCATTTCCATTAATCTTTTTGCAGGATGTTGGCATCATTTGTGAACAGTTGCCTTCTCTGAAGGCTCTGAACTTATCCTACAACTTAATGTCACCATATAAATCTGAGCTTCCATTACTGAAAAGCATCCGTATTCTAGTTTTAAATAATACCGGTGTAGATTGGGAGCAGGTTCTCTTCTATGTCTTTTCTCAATTTATGTCTCTTGCTTGGATTTTCATAATGTTTAATTAAGAATTGCTAAATATTGCATTGTAACTGAGCAGGTTGAACTGCTTAGACTGTCATTGACAACAATTGAAGAGCTACATATCATGGGAAACAATATAAGCAGAATACTGGTATGTTATATTTAGTTCAATAACAACATGCTTGTTAAATATGTTCGGTGCTTTAGGCTTAGATTTCGTCCCATAGCGTATGTTGGCTTACTTAGAGAGCATTTTAATAAACACTGGAAATTAGCGATGCCTTTAAGTACCTCTGAGCTTGAACTTATGATGTTTTATTTGGGGCATGTAAGCAAATGATCTCCTCATTCTCTCCCACTTCCATCCAAAATAAAGCAAAATAGAGGTAAACATTCTCCCAACATGGTTCTCTGGTGGATATATAAATGATTGTAGTACAATGGAAGCCTAAGTAGGGAATATTATTGTTGACACAGTCTTTACTGTTTTTCATCTTATTATGTTTCTCCTTGTCCTCAAAAAGTTTTTGGTTTGACAGAGGGAATAAAAAATGTATCTAATTAAAAGAAGCTAATAAAGATGTTTTTTCCCCTAAAATTTTATGGTAGCTGCCGCAGTTATATTTGGTATTTGCTATGCTTTGTTAAACATTTAATCTCTTCTCTGACACTGGCCTGGATCTGCTACACTCTTGTGTTTTGACTTAAAAAATATTTGACCTTAGTTAATATGATAGATTTTTTATTTTAGGTTTTCACTTTTATGTTTATGTAGCTCTACTGCTTATCAACTTAAAAAATAAATCACACAATTTAAGCTGTCTAATTTTCCTTTTTCTGTTCAGCCTGTGTCATCATCCTCTATGGTTCAGGGATTTGATTCTCTGCGCCTGTTGAATTTGGAAGATAATTGTATAGCGGAATGGAGTGAAATCATGAAGCTTTCTCAGCTAAGATGGTTGGTAAATACAATCTTGTTTCGTTCTACAATACAGTCCCAACTTTAGTTTGGAACAATGTCATTTTTAACTCTTACACACATCTGACTTCAAATTTGCTTCCATGTGAATTGAACCTAAATTTTTGGCTCATTACTTAATCTAATAACCACTTCACATTTTTGCCACAATTATTGTTTATGTCAACCACTTATTGATTTATTACAAGTGTTCAACTTCAGCATGATAGTTTAGCTGTATAATTATAGTGAAATGTGGTCTCATCACATGTTGTATCAGTATCTCTAGAAGTGGTAATTTTATCTTAGAACTGGACTTTATTAATCAGTTCTTCTCTTGTTTACGATTCTTTCCTCTCTAGAAAAATGCCTCTGCTTTTGGTTAGATATGTTCTGTACTATAGTCTGTTGAATTAATATAATTTTGAAATTAATATTTTTTGTTTCAGTTTGGAGCAGCTTTATTTGAACAAGAATTGTTTGAGTTCTCTTTTTTATCCTGATACTGGTTTGCAGTATCATGATTCAGAAGTTACGGACTGCAAGCCCTTTAAAAATTTGCACTGTCTTCTGTTGGGTAATATAAAGTAGCTCTTGATAAGATCATCATATTGAAACGGAATGTGAATTGTGGATGTCTGCTTACTTGAAATCTTTTAATTATCATACAGGTGACAACGACATTAGTGATTTAGCATCTGTCGATTCATTAAACTTGTTTCCTAACTTGGTGGTAAGGTTTATAGTTATACTGTGTTGTATTTATGCTTGCGTATTTATTTTAAGGGTTTCACTACAATTCATATTTATATGATTTTTGCCTGGCCTGAATTTTTATATGCAGTTTTTCTTCTGGTTTAGTGATTGAATCAAGAATAAAAAATAGAAAGTTATTGATGTTTTTGCATAACTTATTATTCTACTATACTTTATGTTAGAGAAAGCTGAACCAAAAAGGTAGTTATTGATTTTTATGCATAACCTATCACTCTACTATACTTTATGTTAATAGAATACTGAACTACAATGTAAATAAATTGGATGCTCCTTAAAGAGAAAAAATAGCTAAAAAGACATACAAAGAAACCTTGACTTTGAGACCTTTTCAAAAACTCAACCACTAAACTTGATAATTTTGATACCATCTCAGAATTTGGGTTGGGCCTAACTCATCCCTACAAAACTGGTTTTGTAGGGTTGAGTTAGGTTCAACCACACAATCTTAAGATGGTGGTATCTGAGTCTCGTTTAAGATCTACTGGGCCACCCACCATTTAGTTCCACGCCCCAGACCCAAATCCTGGGCGTGAGAGGGGGTGTGAAGAGTCCCACATTAGACAAATATGGCCTAAATATGTGTTTATAAGTGGGCGCAATCCTCATCCTACAAGCCGGTTTTGTAGGATTGAGTTAGGTTCAACCACACAATCTTAAGTACTAAGCTGCTTCCTTTACCATATAGACACTACTTGGAAATAAATGACTCTCTCTGTCTGGCTTGTGTGCTACATATGCCTAAGTATAGGAACTTTTGCAGATTTCCTTTTAAAAAGTTATCATCTTTTTCAGCAGAGGATCTTTTCAATTACAAGTTTTTTAGGAAAGTAAATGGTCTGTTTTGCATAACTTGTTTGTTTCCCTGTATCATACAGGAACTACTCTTTCCTTTGTTTCTCTTATTCTCTCCTCTGTTTTTCTTTTTACTATTCTATTTTGCTAGAGCATATTCATAGTTATGGTAGTGAGCTTCTATTCTAATTGTATATTTTTTAATAACAATAAAGGAAACCAGGCTTTCCGGAAACCCAATAACTGATACTTCAAGAGGCGGGGTTCCAAGATTTGTTTCAATTGCTCGTTTAGCAAACATTCAGATATTGAATGGTAGCGAGGTATGGTGAAAGATATCTCTATTGCTAATGCTTATGTGTATCTTTAATATAGTCTTTTACTAAATGTAATGCATTCACATCTGATTAACCTTTCAGATTACCTCACGTGAAAGAAAGGACTCTGAGATTAGGTGTGTTCTTCTTAAAGCTTTGTGCTGTAAATACCCATTAAGCAGCTGAAACATCCTTTATTGTTTGTCAATGGTTTTTACCTTATAGTCTTTTAGTCGTGCACTTAACTTTATTGTATTGGATTTTTGTGTTGCTCCTGTAAATACCCATTAAGCAGCTGAAATGTCCTTTATAATAATCTATTCGTTTATTGTTTGTCAATGGTTTTTACCTTGTGGTTTTTTTAGTAGTGCACTCAACTTTATTGTATTGGATTTTTGTGCTGCTCCTGTTTTTTCTGATCATTTAGTTATGGTCTTTAATATACGGGTATTTCATAAATTTCCTCATTGGAGAACAGGTATGTCCGGCTTGTGGTCTCAAAGTTGCATGTTAGTCCCGAAGAAATCAAACAGCACCCCAGGTAAATATTTATGCGAGTGAGTTATCATTAGGACCTTTACTCTATGATCTATGCTCAGCTATGTTCAGCACGTGCAATTGTCTTGGCACTAGAATCTAGATGTGAATATCAATCAAATTCTACCTCGTATTGCAATTGTTTTGCTGATTTACTGATGCAATTTATTACAGGTTTTCCGAGCTTAAGAATTTTTATGGAATTGAGGATCAAAACCCTTTAGTTGGAGCTTCTGGTGGTCCACGGGCAATCAGCTCGGGATTCTTGTGTATGGACTCTGGATATTAGTTTTGATCATCAGCTTCTTTTTCTGAACTTGCCATAGCTTAATTAACTTGAGTAGAGATTAATGCAGCTATCACTCTGAAGTGTGTTGGAGCATCCATGGGTGAGAAAGAACCATTGACAAAGAAGCTGCCAGCAACAACTACAGTTAGATATCAATACCTTCTTAGTAATATTATGTTGAAACTTGAGTCTATCAAGACTCTTAAACAATCCTTCTGATTACTGTTTTTCTCAGGTTGGCAAGCTAAAATTTCTCTGTGAAAGCTTTTTTAAGCTGAAGTCCATGAAGCTGAAATTATTTTTTCAAGAAGAGGTTTGTTTCTATTAAGAATAAACTATGCTATTTAAAGTCATGATTGCCTAGTTACTTCAAATTTTATTGAGGGGAGTAACAACCTCAGGACAATCTTAAAAATCATTTTTAATCTGATACAATCAATGCAAAAAAGTTCAAATTGTATGCTGAGATTAAACTTGTGATTGAAATTATCTGTTACATGCATTTGAATTTGCAGGGATCTCCATTGCCATTGCTGCTTGACAATGACTCGTCATCTCTTATGGACCTTGGGGTTGGCAATGATTCGGTTATCCTTGTAGACGAAGTTAGTTGATAAAATTATCAGAAATTTTTTATAACCCTTTCGGTGTAATCTATATTAAAAAAGATTGCTTTATAATGGGGAATGAATTCTGTTAGGTAGGTCACGAGATTTTATTAAATGCATCGTTTGAACTTCTTATCTTGGGTCTCTGATGCACTATTTGACGGGACTTAATTTTTACCTTGTCCTTGCTGCTAAATATATCCTAAACATTTTTAAAATTCTGTTTCTGAATGGGATGAATTGTTTTATTTTTACTAGTATGATATAAACACTTCAGATTTATGTGATCCTTGAATCTTTATATGATTAATTAATTGAAGTTACTAGGTGTCTGATCTTTCTCTCCAAATTCTAAATGGTGGAATTTTTTCCTTGTTGAAATTGGAGATTTTAGATAGTCATTAGCAGTAGTTAAAGCTCACGAGAGTTTGTGGTATTTGCACTTCTTTTGAGCATCTTACAAATTCATGTTCCTTCTAGCAAGAGGTCCAAATGTTGATTTGCCTCAGAGAATATGCAACAAACATATACAATCCTCAAATAACAACTATTATCGGTACAACGACCCTGATTTGTCCACTAATAGACTCCACTCTAGTTGGAGAAACCATTCAAATCTATGGTATAAAAATTCATCTGCACAACAGTCTGGGCAATAGCAAAACAACCCACCGACTGCTAGATTTGAACCTTTCACCATTCCACCATTCATTGTCTGGATATAGAGATTGCACATATCTCTATTTCAATTCAACAATGGGCATTTTGTTGTTGTGATTTTTAGCAAAATTTTGGAGCAATCTGAGCCAACAAAAGTAATAGAACAAAGATTAGGATAAATTGGGAATTTTGATTAAAAGTGCATGAGTAAAAAACAATATTTTACGGATTCAAAATTAATTTACATTTAAAATCAATAAAATTAAATAGGGGGATTGTCGAGTTTAGACAATTTGAGAATTTTGATTAAAAGTACATGAGCAAAAAAACGACCAATAAACTTATTTGACTATTCTCACCCATCAATATTTTACGGCTCATCTGTAATTTTGATTCTACTCCTGTTTGACTAAAGAATAGATTAGGCTCATTTGTAATTTTGATTCTACTCCTGTTTGACTAAAGAATAGATTAAGCAATTGTCAATTGACCTATTGCGAATTCTGAGTTTCTATTACTGGATAAATCATCATTGTTGACAAAATGAGCTATAATTAAGAAAGAAATTGTTGCAAAACTACAACCTACTGATTCTGCCAGAAGTTCTTGAATTCTATCAAAATTAGATCATATCAATTTTATTGATATTCAAATTAAGCATTAGACTAACAATATAATCAATGATATAGGAAAGGAATAAAATTATGAAATTAAAGAAATAATATAAAAACCTCAAGTCTTGACAAATCAGTGGGTCAATTCCGAATTTAGCCTTTCATGTTAAACCTTGGTTCTATTCAATTACATTATTTTGAATTCCATGTTATCGTCATCTCCTGTTCTACTTCTAAAAACAAATTTAAATAGTTCAATGATTTGAGCTTTAAGAACACCTTGGCGAAAACCACAAAAATGACCTAAAACATAATTTTATTAGCAATGTATGGTTAAAAAAGTAAATATTTGACTCATCAAAACTCAACTAGTCTCTAGCATAAACATAAATCTTGTATATTTTTATCTTAGCTTTTCAACATACTCGAAGGCATCAATTTAATTCTCGTAGCTTAAATTATAACATGCACAACAAAATTATATCTAAAGTTTAAAAATATATTAAAAATACTAAAATTAAACTTAAGAAGCTTTCAAAACTTCAAAGTACAAAGCTAGTTATAGATCAGACTACAAGGTTACAACCTAATGTAGCACCTCAAACGGTTGGTGAACTCCGTTGACTTTTTTCACATTTATGGACAATTTCCTTGTAGTTTGATTACATGGTCGACTAATAAAACCTTAATCAGAGGATCTTTAAGGCTAATGTCTTGACTATTTAGTGGTTTTCACACATTTCTTCATGAACTATTCTCCCCGCGGTCATCCAAGCATAATTTCAAAGGTCAGAAAAACCCACTCTCGTTGGCATATGCTTCAAAGATGGATGTATTAGATACTTAGTTCATTTAGTGTATTGGGCCTTGATCATTTCTATTGGGCTTAGCTTATATTATTTTCAATGGTCCACATATTATAATATATATTGTTTGTATACTTGGTTTCAGAGGTAAATACAATTTCACACTCATTCATTTTCATTTTCATCTTTCGCGCGCACATGGCTTGGTTCATCTTCTTCCTCCAGCCTTGCTGTAATGTGGTATCAGACGACTAGAATTTATTTTCGTCTTCATTGTTCCCATCACATATCACACCCTTCTTGTAACACCCCAAAATTTGTCCACCCTTTTTCTTAATCTCTTGACTTATGTTTCATATTATTTTGCATTTGCATAACATAGGTTCTAGGTAGGGGATCAAGGTATCTTGTACACTTCTCAAGAAGAAGAACATGATTCTCAAAGTTCAAGAAATGGTTTATTCTCAACCTTGTGGTATTCTCAAGCCCCAATGTCCTCTCACCATCAAGACATGTCTCACAACCATTTGAAACAAGATTACAAGCATTGATCACCTCCTCCTATCTTGTGAACAACTAGATTAGGATTTTGGTCAAAAGGCATATGTGGCTAGCTCCTTGGGCAAGACATGATTTTATGGCTCAATACACATCTTTAGGGTTCTCTGCATGTATTATGTATCATCGCAAGTGATACCATGAGCTTTAATTAGTGGAAAGAATGCTAGGGTTTCATCTGATCAAGAAAAGTTAATTGTGGCTCAATGGGGTCAAAGTCTTGGATTTCAAGGTCAACCAAGGGTATGCTATGTGTTATCAAGTATTTTTGTGTGTTTGTGACAAGAAAATTCAAGGAGAAACATAAAATCAAGAGTTTGATTCAATTAGGGTTTTGGTGAAATATTTTCTAAGTGTAGAAACCCCTAATTCTAGCCATCTTGCAACATCCATAACTTTCTCATCCTTGATCCAGTGGAAGCAAACTTGTTATCAAATTAAAGAGGAATCATGAAATACAAGTTTTTAGAAGAAAGTAAGTCCAAGAGATATATATTTTGAGAGATATGGAGAGCTAAAGTTGAGAAAATGGAGGTTTTGTCATTTCAACACTTAGAAAATTTTCTAAGTATAGAAATTCAGCTTGAGGCACATGTTTTCAAGCCTAACATTCATGGTGATACGAGCTTAAAATTAATTTTTCTCTAGCATGAAAGTTGTAGAGCATCCTCCAATCTTTCTTTTGAGTACTAGAACTCCTCCATTGAATATGTAGAACTCAAGTTATATGCTTTAAAAGTCAAAGTGTCAATAATGTCAAAAGTTTCATAACTTATAATTTTTCTAAGTTATCTTGGGCAGAATTTTAGACATGACTTGCACTTCATTTTTCTCAATCTTCCAAGGCTTGTTTCATCATTCCATCAACATGAAAATTATTCATCATGGTCTTAGCTTTGCATTGAATACAAGAACTCACCAATTGAGCCAAAGTTCATCAAAATATTATGTTTCAAAGATGATTATGTGAGTTTGGTTTTAATGTATTATTCTTGAACTTTTCTTGCATGAAACTTGAACATTTCTTGCAGCATGGTTTTCCATAATTTCACACACAGATGTGTTGCATCCTAAAATTTGACCAACCGGGTCCCGTATCTGGCTCCATGCTTCGACGCATGACTGCATTCGCATCTGCATATCGCATACAGTGCATTTTTTCAGTTGTTTTGATTTTATCGGGATCACAGCTCTTGTCTCGCGTCTCAGGTGTTTTTTATCAGTTTAAATAGGTAGAATCGTATTTTTGGGAAGCCGTGCTATTCCCGATGTTTTCAGCTCGCGCTGTTGTTTTTAGGGATATTTCGGTGTCCGTTCATTTTTACCGGCTATTTTGGTGTGCTCTCGCAGTGTTATTTGCCGTTCGGTGCTATTTTTGTTCCTTCGGGAATTATTGTGATTTTTCTGGATTTTATTGGTCATTATTAGAGTATAATAGATTTTAATAGAATATTAATAGATTTTCTTTATATTTTTAATAGTTTTAATCTTTTTTTTAAGAATATATTAGATATTAAATAGATTTTTTATCATTTTCTTAATAGAATAATATAGAATTTTTATAGGATATAATAGTTTTAGATATGTTTTTAATATAGGTTTTAATAGTTTATTAATGGATATTAGTTTTAGTTTTTAAATAGAATTTTAGAATAATGGTTTTAATAGAGTTTAGAATTTTGATTGTTTTAATTTTGATTAGAATATTATTAGGTTTTATTAATTGTCACTTTCATTTTTAATTAGTCTTTAGTTCATTAATCTTCATTGGTCATTATTAATGGTCATTCCATTTCCATTTAGCATTTTATTAATCCTGCTAATCATCACGTTTGATTTTGTTAATCCATTTCAATCATTTAGGTCCAATTAGTGTAATTGTTAGTCTTTAATCCATGGTAATTAATCCGTTTCATTTCAGTTCTTGGGGGTTTATGGTCATTTCGTGGGCCCAGAGTGTGGAGGCCCAGTTCTGCAAAGTCCAATGCTTGCCTATAAAGTCAGCCAGCACACGTGTATACAAAGGAGGAGAGCCACGTTTCCACTCAGAAAAGACTTCACCCACAATCCCTGCATGCGTGACAACGCAGCATCCCACCTTCTCCTCTCCACGCCACGTGTAGCGCATGCCATGACTCTCTCCACTAACTTCGCCACGCGTCCACCTCCCAGCACCCCTCAGCTCTCACCGGAAACTCCCCTGACCGGCATGCAAGCCCGGTGACCACCCTAACAGCTCCCCGCCGGCAACCCTAACCACTCTCCGACCACCGTCCAAACCACCAGAAACTCCAAAAATTCCCAGAAATCTTCATCTCCTCCGATCAACCTTCATCATCCATAATTAACAAAATCCAGAAATATTCAT